CAGCCAATACAGTGGCAAGATTCTAATCCAGCTAGCAATCCAGCAGGAAAACAAGCATCGTGTGCCGCAGGCTTTATATGTCTATGATACAAACGCATGGTTAATCAACATGCTGAGACGTGTCGGATTCCTACCTGGGTATTCTTCGCGTGTCATGTCATCCTTATTTAACGTTCATTAACAACAAGATTGGAGTGATACCTGGGTGGCACTCGGTGATAATCTGAACATAACCCTGAAGGTAATTAATTAAGTTTTCAGATAAATACAGAGGTTAATATGGTTAGAATACGAATGTCGTATATAAATAGTATACAGAAAGGCGAAAATGTAAATCAAAATCAAAATGGGTACACAAAACGAAGTCGGCAATGTCCCTGTCATATGCATGTGTGGGTGGCACCTGATTGGACACGGCTCAATTGGACACGAGCCACTCACAGCGCTTGAGATTACAAAGCTCCTAAGCACCGGTCGCTGTGATTGGTAGTGTCCAATCGAGCCGTGGTCAATCGGGATCACCCCTGTATGTGTGATTTCCGATCTGCAGGAATTCATTTTCCCATGTCCCATTGAGTGGAACTTGCGGATGCGCAATCAATGCGAGCCAATGGCAAACGCTATTCTGGTAGATCTAATGAAAGTGATCTACGAGAAGACTCTTGCGATTGGTCAGAGTTAAATGCGCATTCCGCAAATTCCGTTCAATGGGATAGGAAAATACATTTTAGCGGAACGGAATCACCGGAATGAAGCCACTATCAATTACGAATGTTCCGCCAATTCCGCATTACCCCGGATCTACAATAGGGTTTTAAGCCTTAAGCCATAAGAAATGGGCGAATCACAGTCGCTTATTCTTCTCGGATTCGACTGTAATTGGTCAGTTTCGTACGGCATAAGGCATAAAACATCTATTGTAGATCCGGGGTTACGCCAATTCTGCATCAGTGGACCGCCATGAGGGTGATATATTTCATTTGTGCGTTTTTGTCGTACGACAAATGTGTGCAGAATAGAGATTTCGTCGGATTTCTCTATCTTATAGCCAATAAATAGGCTTGAAAAATTTGTCGTACGACAAAAATGCACAAATGAAATCCCACTCTGAAGTTATTGGCTACTGGCAGTTCATGTGTTTATAGTTAAAAGTTCCGAAATGGGTCGGCAAACTCGCGCATGCGCGATGGGCGATTGCATGAGAGTAGCGTCGCGACAGACTGTCACGATGCTACTCTCACACAAACGCCCGCCGCGCATAGTTTCCCGACCCATCTTGGAACATTGCTCGTGCTCGACCTCGACAACCACACCCGTGTATTCGCGTGCCCATGTGATGCAAGCGTGATTCGTCTCATAGAAAACATACTTTTTCTAAGAGAAAACTCGATTCGTACAGTTGTTAATTTGTTTCAATTGATAATTTCGTAAGTATGTTTAGTTTATATCTTGCATGCGTTGCACTTGAACTATGATCTCTTTTTTTTACGTATGTATGGCGTATGTCATATCATCTAATATCATTACGTTAATTCGCCAGTATAAAATGACTATTGTCAGTTCTTTAGAGTTACATTTTGTTTCGCGTATGATGTGCATAATATATTGTTTGTTCTTGTTTAACATTCGAATAACAACAATAAATGATGTAAAATGCACCCTAAAGTTACGTTCCAAAACTTCCTCTCCGAGGAAGATTTTACTTTATATGCTATAGTATACGTTACGTATACTATATATTTCCAGTAAAATTTTCTTCGTAAAGGAAGTTTTGGAACATAGCCTAAGGGTGCCGTCACATGCGGCGTAACTTGAGTAAGCGTAACTTGCGCCGACCAATCATATCATTTCACTTGAACATCAGTTTCTGTCTAGTCACTTTATGCTTTTTATGCTATTTTGTTACGCCGAAACATGATAGAACGACCATGCGTCGAATCTAATTTCTGGCTCATTTTAGCTTATTCTGTCTGAAAAAATCCACAAGAGTTTCGATTTTGCAACAGTACAATTATAGAAGTTGTGCGCCCCTTTGCATCGCGTGAAAAGTCGAAATCCATGTGGAACAGTACAATTATAGACCTCATTTTGCCTCTGTGACAGATTTCCTAATCTCAATAGTCATCAACTTTAACGCTTAATATCTCAGATCACAAGGCAGAACGACGTTTTTTTGCCAGATTCTTTCGTTTCATGCAAAAACCCGTCGAATAAGCCTAAGAATGGTCTCACCATAGACATATAAGATAGACCCAGCATCCGTATACTTTTCTATAGTATATGCTGGGTTTGGCAGAACGGTGCGAGAGGCAAAATATCGGAGCAACCTGTCCTTTTCTGCGCGCGCATCTTGACAATCTTAACAAAATCAAAATGGCTGCCTACGTTAGAATTGTTTGTATTCTTTGCACCCATTATTAATAACTGTTAGTATTGTTTCTTTTGTAAAAAAAATTGAATATGGAGACGTGCAACGCATGTGGGTATCAAAAGAAATTTGAAACAGGAAAAAATATTCTTTCAGA